TTATCATTTTTTATATTGTTGGATTCAATCTGCTGAAATTTTAAGAATTTTTGTATCTGTTTTTCTGAGGCATGTTGATCTGTAGTTTAATTTTCTATGATATATCAGGATAATTCTTGCCTCATGGAATGAGTTGGAAGGTGTTTCTTTTTGTTTCTTTTAAAACTTTGTATAAAGTTGGTACTACATTTTCCTTAAATGATTGACAGAGTTCAACAGTGAAGCCATTTAAGTCTGTAGTTTTCTTAGTGGGATAATTTTAACTTTTCAATTTCTTTAACAGATAGAGTACTATTCAGGTTATCTATTTCCTTTGTGAACTTTGATAGTTTGTTTCTTTTAAGGAATTCATCCATTTAATCAAAGTTGTTGGTTTTATTGACTTAATGGTGTTTATAATCTTCCCTTAATTTGTTATCTTTTTAAAGTCTGTTGGATCTTGTAGTAATATACCCATTTTAAAAAATTTCTAGTAAGTATTCCATTTGTGATCAGAAAACATACTTTATGTAATTTGAATCCTCTTGAATTTTATGAGAGTTTTTTTATGGCTCATAATATGGCCTATTTTTGTTAATGTTTTTCCATGTGTACCTGAAAACAATAAATATTTTCCTGTTGTTTGGTTGCATTTTACAAATGTCATTTAGAGTTAATTGGTTAATACTGTTAATGAAATTTAATGTATCCTTACAAATTTTTATCTACTTTTTTAAACAATTACTGAAAGATGTTGAAACTTCCAACTATAATTGTGTATTTATGTATTTTTTCTTTAATTACTATCAGTTTTTTCTTTATATATTTTGAAGGTTTGTTACTCAGGATTGTTAGATCCTTATGATACATTCACCCCTTTGTCATTATGAAATAACTTTCCTCATCCCTGAGAGTAGTCTTTGCTTAAAAATCTACTTTGTCTGATACTAGTGTGGCTACTCCAACTGTCTTTCGATTAATGTTAGCATGATATATCTTTTTTCATCTTCTTGACTGATTTGTGCTTTTAAACTGAAAGCACTTTGGATTTCTTTTCCACCTAAGGAACACAGGTGGAATTTTGGAATACAAAGTTATCACAAGCACCCACTATAGTGAAACTTCATGTAGGCAGGTTCCACTAATGGATGAATGGGTGGAAGTTTGAGGAGAAACAGTTTATTCATGTAATCTTGAAGTAGCTATCCTGTGATAGTTATTAATTACAAAGGAAAAGTAACTATGTGGAGAATCTTGGCAAACACTACCTTAAACAAGTGATCAAGGTGAACATCACTAGTTGTAAGACTGACTTAGTGATATCTCATACCCTCTCATATAATACACTGAGAAGGGCACATCACCTCTGGGGTATTTCCCCAAACATGTAACTCTTTCCCAAAACATGTAACTTCGAACAAATCATTAGAAAACAGGCAAACCTAAATTGAGAGACGTGTTTCAAAGTAACAGTTCTTTAAGTGTCAAGGTCATGAAAGACAAGGAAAGACTGAAGAACCATCACAGACTGGAGAGTAATAAAGAGACATTCAGTTAAATACAGTGTGGGATTCTGGATGGAAACCTGGAACATAAAAAAGACACTAATGGAAAAATTGATGAAACTGAAATTAATCCTGTAGTTTAGTTAATATTATATGAGTGTCAATTTCATAATTTTGATAATTTTTCCATGGTTCTATAAGGTCCTGTTAGGAGAAGCTGGGTAGGGTGCATATGGGAACTCTACTATTTTTGCAACTTTAAAACTGATATTGTTTCATAATAAAGGTATAAAAGAAAAATAATTAAGTGATTTTCTTACTGGGCAGTGCAGTTGAATGTTGTCTTTTTAAATACAATTGGACAGTCTGTGTCTTTTAATTTGTCTCTCATATGTAACTGTTGTGATTATTGAAATAGTTGGATTTAACTCTGTCATCTAGCTGTTTTTTTTAAATTTGTCCCATTTGTATTTTGTTCCCTTTTTCCCTTTTTCTGTCTTCTTTTGAATTATTCAAGTATTGTTTTATTCCATTTAATCTCTTGTTGGTTTATTAATTATACCTCTTGTTTTTCAGTGGTTGCTTTAGAGTTTATAGTTCTGGCTTACCAATATGATACCACTTCATGTGGAAGAGCCTTACTACATGTCTGCTTTCCTAGCCCAACTGCTGTTGTTTCATACATTTGATTTCTACATTCAGTATAAACCTTACAGTACCTTGCTATTCTTTTTTTTCCTGTGGTAAAATATACAAAACATAAAACTTTCCATTTTAATCCTTATTAAGTGTACAATTCAATGGCATTAAGTATACTTACAATGTTTTACAGCCATCACCACTATCCATTTCCAAAACTTTTTCATCGTGCTGTAAATTTTCTTGTTTTTAGTGTAATTTTTAAAATGAGAAAAAATCATTTTATGTTTACTCATCTAATTAATGTTTCTATTGACCTTCATTCTCTCAAGTAGTATCAGATTCCCTTTGGTACCATCATTCTTTCATGGGATGGAATTATTTTAATGTTCCTTATAGTGCAGCTTTGCAAGGGATGAGTAAATTCTGCTTTTATGTATCGAAAATGTCTTTTTCATTAAGAGAGGTCTATGTTGACATTATTTGTCATTCAGCCCTTTATAGGTGTTACTCTGCTCTCTTCTTTTTGGTTATTATTTCTTAAAAAAATTTTTTTATCATCAACTACACTACATCCCCCACTCTGTCCTCTTCCACAGTTCACTGATGCTGTTATTTTTTTCATTTGGTGTTTTGTCTCGTTTTGTGTAGTTTTTATTGTTACGTCTTTAAGTTCACTAATCTTTTCTATGGTATATACCATAGTTTACTGTTAATTTCATCCAGTGTTTTTCATCTCAAGTGTTTTGTCTTTCATCTCTGGGAGTTGATTTATATCTTTTTATTTCTTCCATATTTTGTCTTAACATGCTAATACTTCATTATGTGGTTATAATAGGTCATTTAATGTGCTTGTCTACTATCATCCGTGTTATGTCTAGGTCATTTTCAATGAACTGATTTTTCTTCTCAGTATAGATCATATTTTCCTGCCTCTTTATGTGCCTGGTAGTTTTCTTTTGGATGCCAGACATTGTAAATTTTACATTATTGGTTCTGGATATTTTGTGTGTGTATGTGTATGTATTTAATATGTTCTTAAGCTTTGTTCTAGGTCACATCTAGTTAATGTTTCTGTTGATCTTCATTCTCTCGAGTACCATCATATTCCCTTTGGTACCATCCTTCTTAAGTTTCTAGGGAGAGTTTGATCCTTTCAAAGCTTCCTTTAAGTATTATTGAGCAAGACCAGAGCAGTGTGTAGGGCAACATTTTTTCCCCATTATTGTACTTTTCCCTCCAAACCTTTTTATACATCCTTTTTTCCTGTTCACCATCCCGCCCCATGAAATTTTATGCTTTATTATATATATGCTTATGTGTTATATTTCTGTGCTTTATATACCCTCTGACCCCTCCAAAACAACTTTTATTTACTTGGGGGTGATACTACCTCAGTTGAAATACATGGTCTAATGCTAATTCTTCTCTATTAGTAAAATGTTACTCTTCTGAGTATAGTGACCAGTGCCCTATATTTTTACTATTTTAAGGCTAGGACACAACCAGTCCCTTTTGCTTTATCTTGGCTGGAAGTGGAAGTCTCCCCAGATCCTGACAGTTTCTCAAAAGCTAAACATACCCTACTATACAGCCCAGTCATTCCACTCCAAAGTATTGGCCCATGAGAAATGAAAACATATAACTACATAAAAACTTGAATATGAATGTTTATAGTAGAAGCTTTATTTCTAAGAACCAAAAACTGGGAACCACCCAAATGTCCATCAGGAGGTGAATGGATAAATGATTTTACACCCATTCAGTAGAACGATAAAAGTAATGAAGGATTTATATATGCAACAATATAGATAAGTCTCGAAATCTTATGCTGAGTCGGAGAAGCGAGACCCCCCCCAAAAAAAAACCCATGTGTATGATTCCACTTATAGAAAACTCAAAAGTGCAGGTTAGTCTGTGGATAAAAAGGAGATTAGTGGCTGCCTGGGAATGAGATGTAGAGAAGGACTAATCACAAAAGAGCACAAGGAAACTTTTGGTGGGAAAGGAAATATTTCCTTTGATTTGTGGGCATGATTTCATGGGTGAACAGATGTCAGAATTTGAAAACATATATTAAATATGTGAAGTTTATTATATGGCAATTATATATGCCATAAAATTATAAAAGTAAATAAAATGAGTTTGGACTCTACTTGGGGAACTGATATTTCTCATTAATGACCCATATGTATAAAAATGTATTAGTGTAGGTTATGGTGAGTTTTAAAACTTATAATTGTGATGTTTAATTTGTTGGCAGTTTGAAAACACTAACTTGCTCCATACAGAAGTGTACATTTACAGACCTAATGCTAGTAATTGTTCAGTTTTGTTCTGATGAGTGTGAGTAGTGGTGTTAAACAGACTGAGCTGTTTTCAGAATGTGTGGACTAGGGCGAAATAGTCCTGGTTTCTGAGAACTGAGGAGTTTTAGACCCAGAGGTTGCTTAGAGTTTGGCTATCTAGCCTAGCATTTTAGGGCAGCTCTGGGAGTTGCATACTTATTCTCTAATTTTCTAGAAGGTGAATACTAAATTTCTGCATACTAAATTTAAACATTTAAATTTAGTATGCAGAAAGGTTTACATCTAATAAATATATATTTTGCTGCAGTTTTACACAGTGAATACATCTCAGATGTGAATAGCACCCAGATGAAGAAACAATAGAACCTGGTATTGGTAATTTTTGAAAATACAGTTCTTTGCAGGATAATTAGATAAAATTGAACACATGCTGAATGATCATGACTAGGTAATTTCTAGTTTTAAAGTCTTTGACACTGGGATTTTATACTGTACAAAAATTGTTCTGTTTATTTTTGTTTGTGTAATGGTAGCTTATTTTGTTTAATCATGATATTTTTTCTTGCAGTGGACTCTCGAAAAATTGACCAAGAGGGGAAAATCCCAAAGGAAACTTTAGAGAAGCTGAAGAGCCTGGGGCTTTTTGGCATGCAAGTCCCAGAAGAATATGGTGAGTAAAGGAAACCACCCCCATGCTGGTTGCCTTTTAAGAAAGTAGTCTGTGTTTCTTCAAAAAAGGGTTCTGTTTGGGAAGGGTGGCCCTTAATGCAGTATGTCCAAAATCGAGCTGTAAAACTGCTGGAAATAATAAAAACGTCTATCACTGGCTAACTATGGGGTGGCTGGTTAGTGAGTGTGTGCGCACTATCTCAGGTGCTTGTGCTGTGGAGTTTTGTGCTTCTTCCTCTGAAATGCATCAAAAACCATCGCAGGAACTGTGCTTGCTGGATCTCTGTGGAGGTGGAGGAGGTGGGTGAATCAGAGTGAAACTGGCTGATTTTCAGTGTCATCTCCATTGCACAGCCCTTTGGTCTCTCAGGCTCAGAAATTGTTCTGGAGCCACTTGTGCTTCCTGTGGTAAGAGCGCAGGTGCCAGGTTCCACTAAGTTTGGCTTCTCATCCTGGTGCAAACAAGTAAGACATATATGGCTGTAGGACACAAGGTGCATCTAAAAAAACACTAACTTGCTCCATACAGAAGTGTACATTTACAGACCTAATGCTAGTAATTGTTCAGTTTTACTGTAATGAATGTATAGGTGTTAAACCTGTAGATATGGGGATTTAATTAGGGGGAACCTTTGAGCAGGGCCCTTTGTCCTTTGGACCATGCATATCACTCTTAGAGTATTGTAGTGATGTTTTTAGTCTCCAGGTAGAAGGCCCTTCCTTGCCTTTCTCTTCAGCATCCCAGGGTAATTCTGCCTTGTCAGATTTGGCTGATCACTTTTTTTTTCTTTTGCCTAATCCAGAGGTGGCCATCCTAATTCTGTGGGATTAAGGGGACAGGCAAGAAGTGTTTGTGGGGAGAGGAATAGAAAATGTCTCAAAGAGCTAGAACACAGGCTGATTGATGCATGTGAATGCACACCAACACATCACTTTTACTCTTGGACCCTTTTGACATAAAAGTGTGGCTCTAGGTTCTCAGCCTTCACCCTACACCAACCTCTATGAGCCCTCTTCCAGAGCCTTTGCTGTCTGAGGCTGCTTCCAGGTTTGATCAGCTATGGGACAGGAGTTTAGGGGAGAATTAGTGGTGCTTTAACGGCTAGGTATATTTCATCGGTATGAGCTGGTCATTTGGAGGTTTTTAATATTTTGGGCATTTTCCCAGCTAGATTTCAAATTAGGTTTTGCACAGCAAGTCACAAAAGCCAGAAGCTTGTCTTCATGTTCTAGCTTCCTACCTGGTCTACCTAAGACACTAAAGTTAGGCCACCTCCACCTCTGTACCCTAACCTTGGCAGCCACAAGTGGGGAGCCCTCAATGTTTGTAGAATAAGTTTCCACTTGTACCCAGCCTGGAACTGGTACAGTTTGAGACAAAATATGAAAATTTAGGACAAACTAGTTTGATGCCAAATTTCCTTAATTCTGAAGCATATTTTAATCAGGTTAAATCTTAGTTTATATGTATGTTTTTTTGCTTTGTTTTAAACTATTAAATGGTGTATCTTACTGTCATTATATGAAATACCTTTCATCACATTTCCAAATGTATAAAAACATTTTTTCATTTATGCAGAAGACATAAAATCAGTGATGTTGCTCCTTCAGTGGTGGAATGCACAGAACAAATATCTGCAGGGAAAAGCTATACTTCCTGTTTCTTAACAGAAATCTGCAGCATCTGAGTGAGGTGTCGGGAGCTTGAGCTTTCCCAGACATCTGAGACATCTGAGACTTGTCAGTATTAAAAGTGATGGGAATTCTTGGCCATAACACATGGGCTGTATTGAATATGAGACTAGGAAGCCATTGGAGATAGAGCTGGAGAGTGACAGTTGATCTCTCATCCAATGAAAACATGAGTGCTTGGAGTAACGAATACCAGGAGAAAGCCTCTAGATGTAGCCAGGTTGGTAGTATTGTATGTTTCTCCTTTAAAGGTTACCCTTCAAGATCCTTTAAAATCATTTCGTAGTTGATGAAAGTGCTTAATTTTTCTCCAAAACAATTTCTATGTAAAATTGAGGTATGTCTTTTTATATCTACATGTCATATATGCCAGCATGTATTAGGGGTGTATGTGTACACATGCATGCCTAAGTTGATATGAGATTACATAACTTTCTATAAGTTATTCTCGTTTTAAGTCCTACTTTCTGGTATGAAAATACTCTCTTTTTTTTCCAAATCTTTAAAATAAATGTTATTAAGTACCCTTTTTTGAAAAAAAAGTATTTTATTGTTGTTCAATTATAGTTGTCTGTATTTCCTCCCCCCTCCAATCCCCCCCACCCCAGCCAAACCCACCTCCCTCCCTTGCTTCCACCCTCCCCCTTGGTTTTGTCTGTGTGTCCTTTATAGTAGTTTCTGAAAACCCTTCCCCCCATTGTCTCCTTCCCCCTCCCCTCTGGCTATTGTTAGATTGTTCTTAATTTCAGTGTTTCTGGTTATATTTTGTTTGCTTTTTTCTTTTGTTCATTATGTTCCAGTTAAAGGTGAAATCATATGGTATTGGTCCCTCACCTCCTGGCTTCTTTCACTTAGCATAATACTCTCCAGTTCCATCCATGCTGTCTCAAAGGGTAGGAGCTCCTTCTTTCTCTCTGTTGTGTAATATTCCATTGTGGAAATGTACCATAGTTTTTTGATTCACTCATTTGCTGATGGACACTTAGGTTGCTTCTAGCACTTGGCTATTGTAAATTGTGCTGCTGTGAACACTGGGGTGCATAGGTGCTTTTGGATTAGTGTTTCAGGGCCCTTAGGATATAATCCCAGCAGTGGCATTGCTGGGTCAAAAGGCACTTCCATTTCTAGTTTTCTGAGAAAATTCCATACTGTTTTCTACAGTGGCTGTGCCAGTCTGCATTCCCTCCAACAGTGTACTAGGGTTCCCTTTTCTCCACAGCCTCTCCAACACTTGTTTGTTGCTTTGTTTATGATGGCCATTCTCACTGGTGTGAAGTAGTATCTCATTATGGTTTTAATTTGCATCTCTCTGATGGCTAGTGATGCTGAGCATCTTTTTATATGTCTCTGAGCCTTTTGTATGTCCTCCTTGAAGAAGTGTCTGTTCAAGTCCTTTGCCCATTATTTAATTGAGTTGTTTGTCTTCCTGGAGTGGAGTTGTGTGAGTTCTTTATATATTTTGGAGATCAAGCCCTTGTCCAAAGTACCATTGGCAAATATGTTTTCCCATATACTTTGTTCCCTTTTCATCTTAATGCTGTTTTCTTTAGCCATGCGTAGCCTTTTATTTTGATGAGGTCCCATTTGTTTATTCTTTCCTTTATGTTCCTTGCTTTAGGGGACATACCAGTGAAGATGTTGATGCGTGGAATGTTTGGGATTTTCCTGCATGTGTTGTCCTCTGGGACTTTTATGGTATCACATCTTATATTTAAGTCTTTTATCCCCCTTGAATTTATTTCTGTGTGTGGTGTAAGTTGGTGATCGAGTTTCATTTTTTTTTGCATGTATCTGTCTAGATCTCCCAACACCATTTGTGGCTATTTTTGCTTCATTCTATGATGCTGCCTGCTTTGTCAAATATTAATTAACCATAGAGACTTCTGTTTGTTCTGGGCTGTCTATTCTGTGCCATTGGTCTGTGTGTCTGTTTTTATGCCAGTACCAGGCTGTTTTGATTACAGTGGCCTTGTAATACAGTTTGATATCAGGTACTGTGATCCCTCCTACTTTGTTCTTCTTTCTCAAAACTGCTGCAGCTATTCTGGGTCATTAATGGTTTCATATAAATTTCTGAAATGTTTGTTTTATATCTGTGAAATATGTCATGGGTACTTTATAGGGATTGCATTGAATCTGTAAATCACTTTGGGTAGTATGGACATTTTGATGATGTGAATTCTTCCAATCCATGAGCATGGTACATGCTTCCATTTGTTTGTGTCTTCCTGAATTTCATTCTTCATTATTGTATAGAGTATAGGTCTTTTACCTCCTTCTTTAGGTTTATTTCTAGGTATTGTATTTTTCTTGTTCCTATATCAAATGGAATTTTTTTTCCTGATTCCTGTTTCTGATATTTTATTGTTGGTATACAAAAATTCCTTAGATTTCTGAATATTGACTTTTTATCCTGCTGTTTTGCCAAATTCATTTATTAGGTGGAATAGTTTTCTGGTGGAGTCTATAGGATTTTCTCTCTACACTATCATGTCATCTGCAAACAATGACAGTTTTACTTCCTCCTTTCCAATTTGGATTTCATTTTCTTTCTTTTTCTTGTCTGATGGCTTTGGCTAGGATTTCCACTACTATGTTGAATGGGAGTGGTGAAAGCAGGCATCCTTGTCTTGTTCCTGATCTTAGTGGGAAAGCTCTAAGTTTTTGCCCATTGAGTAAGATGTTGGCTGTAGGTCTCTTGTATATGACCCTTATTATATTGAGGAATGCTTCCTCCATTCCCACTTTGCTAAGTGTTTTTATCATAAATGGGTGCTGTACCTTATTAAAGGCTTTTCCTACATCTATTGATATGATCATGTGATTTTTGTCTTTTGTTTATGTGATGTATTATGTTCGAAAATACTTTTTTTCATGAGATGATAATAGTCATGTTTGGTTCTTTTTCCTTCCTTGGGAAATTAAGGCAATAGCAACCTTATATTCATGCAACCAAATGGTTTGGGGAACTGTTCCCAGTCTGGAGCAGGGAATGAACTCCTTTCTACCAACTGGGCCTGCATTTCCTTCCTGGTTCCCTGCAGCCAACCCAGCCTGTCAGTATCCTGTCAATGGCATGTCCATGGCTGGTTGATGTGGCTCCTTCCTGCCCTTCAGCTTTATCTCCACCAACAGTCTCCACCCACCTGTCATCCTTTCCCATGTGATTGCTGTCCCCATGATCTAATGGTAACTTCCTTGGGGGAGAAAGCATCAGAACTTAATTTTTTTAACAAACAAAACTGACTCCCTTAGTATGTGAAATAAGTATTGACTGAAACAAGTGGAAAGGGGAAAGTGGTACTGCAGAGCCCTGGCCTTCCCTGGGCACCACTCCTGAACCCACAGGACTGCATTACTAGGCAGGCCACTCCACTTCTCTGCAGGGACTCATCCCTTCCTTTGTGTGTGAATGGTGGCTCTAGGGCCCTTACCCATACATACCCCCTGAGTTCAGACCCAGCCCTCCTACATTTTGGTCACGTGACCTTAGGCCTTGGTTTATTGTTTATATGATGCATATATGGTCACCCAGCCATCTGTCAAAGTTGAAGACACAAGTTCAGTGGATTTTTTGTTTTTGTTTCTTCAATGTTTATCTTTCTACTGCAGCAGAGTGATTTCCAACTAGAGTTATTTTGTCCCCCAAGAGACATTTGACAATGTCTAGAGAATTTTTGGTTATCAAAACTGTGGGGGGGGGTACTTCTGGCATCAAGTAGGTGGAGGCCAAGGATGCTGCTAAACATTCTACAGTGTGCAGAAGAGTCACCCATGACAACAAATGTTGGATCCTAAAATATGAGTAGTGCCACTGCAGAAAAATCTCTGTCCTGGAATCCGCTAGATACTGAGAATGAGGCACTGGAAAAGCTGTTTCATTTATAAAGATCTATATTTGACAGGAGATACAACCTATTAAATGATGTAAAGGTATTTTTATATTTTTGTATTATAGATTATATTTTTATGTTAAAAATGTATATCTCTGTAAATGCTCATATGCCTAGAAAAGTTTGAAAGGATATGCACAAAAATGGTCTGACTGCTGTTTGTGGGTGATGTGTATTTTCTTTGTACCTTTCTGTATTGTGACGAAAATGGTGATCTGGCATTACTTTTATAATCAGAAAAGACTAGTAAGGCCATTTGCCTTTAATGGGAGTAATGTGGGGCTGGGCCATAAGTAAAGCAGGTCTCTTTATTCTCTAGGTGGCCTGGGCCTTTCCAACACCATGTATGCACGGCTACAGGAAATTGTCAGCCTGGACGGGTCGATCGCTATGACCCTGGAAGCACACCAGGCTATAGGCCTCAAGGTCAAGTATCTGGGGATGCTTTCTGTGACTCCAGGAAGACCTTCAGGAAGTGAATTGTGCTTGCTATCTCATGGTCTTGGAGGAGAGCCTATCCTATCCTGCATCTTTGCCCTGCAGTGCCTCATTTGTGCACGTCCTCTCTCAGCTATGCCATATAGTGCTCAGTTCCTACGTAAGCAGCAGCCCTTTGATCACGCTCTCCCTTCCCTTTGAATCCTCCTCATGTTCTCATTGCCTTTGACCCATCCTTTGGAAGCCCAGTTCTGATGCTGCTGCCTCCATGGAGCCTGCCTTCACTTCAAGCTGGATATGAGCCTCTCCCACTGTGCTCTTGAGTCAGTTGGGGCCTTAGCATGTCCTCCCTACTGTTGTCTTTCTCACCCCACTAGGCTTGGAGAATTTTAGGGCAGGTCCAGATTCACCACTCTTAATCAACAGTCCATTACTTGTGTTGTTTCTGGTCAATGTAGAAACCAGAGTGAGCTGAGTGCACAGCATGCATGCTCGGCTTCCCTCCAAGAGCTTTTGTGCTCCATACACTCACTCAGTGGAAAGAGGGGACTTGAGAAGGAGTGTGGGACAGTTCTGACATTGACTGAACACCTTCTTTGTGCCAGGTGTGGGTGCAGCATTCCCACCTCTTCACATTTTATCATTCAAACCACCCCTCCAATGGGTAAGATTATCGCCTATATGTACAAGAGGATATGGAGGCTTAGAGAAGGGACATCCCTTACCGAAGATTACCTAGCCAGGAAACAGGAGCTGTGATGAACATCCCTGAGTCTGACTCCAAAGTTCTGCTGGGACTCCAGGCCCAGGCCACCCTGATGGTGCACTTTAGGGTGGGTCCTTAGCAGTCTGGCTCCCCACTTTTTTTTACCTGAGGCTGCCAGCTCTGATTCAGGATATTTCCTCTTGCATGAAGTACCGTAAGTATTTCCTTCAGAAGCTATATTCTGCAAGCATAGTTGTCATAGTCTTTTTCCCCCACAGCTGAAATCAGCCTGTTTGTGTCTTGTTTAGGGAATCATCTTGGCCGGCAGTGAGGAGCAGAAGGCCAGATACCTGCCCAAACTGGCATCTGGGGAGCACGTTGCCGCCTTCTGCCTGACAGAGCCAGCCAGGTCTGCCCTTGGCGCGAACTGCCATGGAATAGCGTCTCCCAGGGGCATGGAAGGAGGGCTAAAGTTTGTGCTGAATAGGTGGTGACTTTTATTTCTTCCCTCTCTGAAATCTTCACCAGGAGTCAAATCAGCAACTTTTCTTGCCAATTCTCTTATCTTTATTTTTCTGTCCCAGTGAGATTTATAAATGCGATAACACACCTGACAATGCCTATTAAATAATCATTTTGTGGTTTGCAACACACCTGACATGTGCTTTCAAAGCTTTGAAGCAACTTTCAGAGTATGAGGGTGGGTGGTAAAGCCCTGTTTTACAGATTAGGAACTGAGGTTAAGTGAGGTTGTGTGATAAGCCCAAGGTCACACAGCTAGGACATAACAGGGCTGGCACCGAGGTCTCTTACTTGGACCACCCTTCATCTTACTTCCCTCCGCCTGGGGTCCTGAACTCATCCTGAAAGGAGTTTAGATGAGTTTATTTTGAGTACACATTTTCATGTTTGAATCTAAATTTGAATTTTCACCACCACCTTTTTTATCTGATATGATAAGGGGTTGGGCAGGTCCAGCCTGCCTCCTGTTTTTGTCATGGAAGTGTTACTGGAACATGCCTGTTTGTTTACAAATTGTGGCTGCCTTCATGCACAATAGCAGAATCGAGGAGTTGGGCTGTAGCCCAAAAAGCTAAATATATTTATCATCTGGCCCTTTATTTTAAAAGTGTACCAACTCCTGTATTAAAGTAAAACCTTTATTTTTGGGCCCTCCAAACCATTCATCTTGATTCCCAACATTATTTTCTTCAATAGCTTATTTTTGTCCCTGCAGTGGGAGTGATGCTGCCTCCATCCAGACCAGGGCCTCGTTAAGTGAAGATAAAAAGCACTACATCCTCAGCGGCTCCAAGGTACAGCTCCTCTGGGGTCTCAGTCATGACCTTCACTACTACTCATTGACCACTTTGCATACACCAGGGATTGCAAAGGGTATACACATCATCTTTTGACCATCACTTCTTGGGTGGATGCTACTTGCCTTCTTTGGAAGAAGAAACGCCTCAAAGAGTTCAGCACATGTCCTATGCTTAGTAGCAGAGCCAGGATTGGAACCAAGGAGTTCTGGCTCCACAGTTTACATGCTTCTGTTTTACCATCTACCTCCTTGAGCTTCTGTTGGGTGTTTGTTTTCAAAAAGTTTTTATTATGCAAAAATTGAAACATATACAAAGTTCACTATAGTGAACTTGAATGTACCTGTCACCCAGCTTCAGCAGTTACTAGCCCTTAGCCAATTGTTTCTGTGTCAGCATCATCACCTCTGGCTTGCATTCATAACTGTCTCAATTTATGCCTCTAAAAGACAGGACTATTTTATAAAAAAAGTTATGATACCATTATCACATTTTTTTAAAAAATGATAATTCCTTACTATCTAGATAGCATTCAAATTTCTCTGATTATCTTATAACTTTTTTTTTCAAATCATTTGCTTGAATTGAGATCCATATAAGTTCCATATATTGCAGTTTGTTGATAAGTTTCTATATTTATCTCTTCTTTCCTCTCCTCTTTCTTATACCTGTCTCCTCACTCCTTTCTGTCCCCATCGCCCTTTCCTGAGGAAACCCTTCATTCAGTGCTAGAGCTTGAACTATCTTAGTACCATTGGATACTGTTCTACAGCATCGCCACACACTCACACACTCACACTCATGGTCACCTGTGTCTCTTGGGAAAATCCTTGCTCTGGGGAGACTGGGTTCTGTACTCTGTTTATGCAGTCTTGGCTTCCCCAGGGCCAAGGCTTTACAGTCTAGCCTGAGGTTTGATGGGCAGCTGGAGTGTCTTCTGGAAAAGATGGGGCTTAGAAGTGGCTCATAATGGTTTAGTTTTCTCCAAAGTTCTTTTGCTTTTTCTTTCAGGTCTGGATCACCAATGGAGGACTTGCCAATATTTTTACTGTGTTTGCTAAAACCAACGTTGATTCTGACAGCTCAGTAAAAGACAAAATTACAGCATTTATAGTAGAGAGAGACTTTGGTGGAGTAACTAACGGGAAGCCTGAGGATAAGTTAGGTATCCGTGGCTCCAACAGTAAGTTGTGTGTGTGTGTGTGTGTGTGAGAGAGAGAGAGAGAGACAGACAGACAGACAGACAGACAGAGAGGGCATGAGCCAGTGCACGAGCTCTTTAGCCCCATTCAGGCATCAAAATACAATGAAGTTTAAGTAGTTTTAATTGACTCTGGCTGGTATGGCTTAGTGGATTGAGTGCCAGCCTGTGAACCAAGGGTTGCTGGTTCTATTCCCAGTCAGAACATGCCTGGGTTGCGGGCCAAGTCTCCAGTTGGGGGCTTGTGAGAGGCAACCATACATTGATGTTTCTCTCCCTCTTTCTCCCTTCCTTGCCCTCTCTCTAAAAATAAGTAAATAAAGTCTTTTCTAAAAAAGTAGTTTTAATTGTACTTAAGCATTTTAGAAAAATCAAATTAAGAATGCCATGATGACTGTTGTAAATAATGCTGCAACAAACATAGGGTAGCTTATATCTGTTCAAATCTGTGCTCTTATTTTCTTGGAAGAAGTTCTCAGAAGTACAATTACTGGGTTATATGGTATTTTCAGTTTTTTGAGGAATCACCATACTGTTTTCTATAGGGACTGCATCCCACCAACAATGCACAAGTGTTCCCTGTTCTCCATACCCTTGCCAGCACATGTAATTTGTTGAGTTTTTGATAATAACTATTCTAACTGGAGTGAAGTGATGGCTGATTGTGGGTTTGATTTACATTTTTTTGATGGTTAGTGATATCATCTTTTCTCTATTTCCTCAGAGAAATATCTTTTTATTTCCTTGCCCATTTTTCTCTTAGATTGTTTATTTTTTGTCATTAAGTTATATGAGTCTCTTATATTTTGGATATCAACCCATTATAATTTGCCAGTATATTTCCCCATTCAGTAAATGGTTGTTTGGTTTGTTGGCAGTTTTTGTCACTGTGCAGAAGCATTTTAGTTTGATGTAGTCCCATTTGTTTAACTTTTGCTTTTGTTTCCCTTGCTTGATGGGATGTGTCCAAAAAGATACTACTCAGACTGAAGTCAAATAGTTTGTTTCCTATGTTTTATCCTAGGAGTTTTATGGTTTCAGTCCTAACATTTAAGTCTTTAACCCATTTTGAGTTTATTCTTGTATATGGTGCAAGAGAGTGGTCTGGTTTCATTTTTTTGCATGTTGTGTACAATTTTTCCAGTACCTCTTGTTGAAGAGACTGTGGTCAGTCCATTGTATATTTTTATCTCCTTTGTCATAGATGAGTTGACTGTATAAGTGAGTGTTTATTCCTGGGCTCTCTGTTCTGTTCCACTGATTTATGTGTCTTTTTTGTGTGTGAATACCATGCTGTTTTGATTGTCATAGCTTTGCAGTGTAGTTTGAGATCAGGGAGCATGATGCCAGCAACTTTGTTCTTCTTTCTTCAGATTGCTTTGACTGTTCAGGATTTTTTGTTGTTCATATAAATCTTAGGATTATTTGTTCTAGTTTTGGGAAGAATGACTATATTCATTGCAGCATTATTTACAATATCCAAGATATGGAAGCAACCTAGGTGTCTGTTGATGGGCAAAAAGTGATGTGGTATGTTACATATTTGGAATATTATGCAGTAATAAAAATGAAATCTTGCCATTTCTAACAACATAAATTGATCTAGAGGCTATTATGCTGAGTGAAATACGTTTGGCAGGGAAAGACAAATACGATACGGTTTCACTTATATTGAAATCTAAAAAAAAAAAAGAAACAAATGAACAAACAAAACAGAATCAGATTCCTAAACTGAGACCAAAGGGGTTTTACCTGAAGGGAGAGTATGGGAGAATCAATGAAAAGGGGAAGGGGAATATAGTCAATAATGTTGTGATAATTTTGCACAAATGGTTATTAGAATTAGTGTGGTGATTACATTATAATTTTTAAAATGTTGAATCACTTATATTGTCCAACTGAAACTAATATAACCAATAAATACTGTATACCAACTGTACTTAAATTTAAAAAGTTAAAAATAAAGTGCCACAGTGACTACACTTCTCCATGTAATGACCATCAGTGATTTTAAGGTTAATGAAACAGTCACAGTCTTGTGGAGCTCTCAGCCTTGTGAGGGAGGCATAGTGGACACCAAAAAGGGCAGTGGGGTATCCTAGGTTAAAATTCCATTACAGGAAACCCCCATATTCCCGGCCTGGAACTCCCTCCCTTCTCCTGCTTCCCTTTCTGCCTACCCAGGCCTGCTTGTGGCCCTTGGTCTGCAGTAAGTTTACTTGAGGCTGGGTCCTGTGAGTGGCCTTCAACCCTTCCAGAGCAGTGGAGTCCTCAGAGGGCTCTCTTTCATAGGCCTCCTATTCAGATCATGGAGAGTCTGCTACAGGATTCTGTATACCACCCTAGCACCTCCAGACCCACTTCTGTTTGCCACCCTGTCTTTGGGGACCCTGTGTTCTAGATAGTGGTATTTGCCACTACATGTGCTTAGCCTGGTGGGGGCAGGGGCTGTCAGAGAGCCTGAGCTCTAACCTGGCTCTGGTACATAGAAGCTATGTGACCTTGAGAAGCTAGTTGGCTTTTCTTCAGTTTCCTCACCTATAAGAAAGAGATGATAATAGAACCTACAATGTGGAGGTGATATGAAAAGGGAGGGTTACAACATATGTAAAATGCTAAGTATACGTGGAAGCTGATAATGTTTGTGCTGTTACTGGTATTAACCACCATGACTGGTACTGCTGCCTATTGCGTGATGAATGTTCCAACAGAGGAAGGAGCAGGCTCAGAGGCCCTGAGATAAAAAGATCCTGGTGTGCTGGTGGGAAAAAGCACCCAGAGTGACTAAAGTGGTGGGAGAGAACAGGGCTGCTGCTGTGTACCACTATGGGTGCATTGTCCATACTGATGTCTGGGTAGGTGGTGCCCACTGGAATTATGTAATGGTCCTGTGAGAGGGGCTTGTGTGGCATAAGATGAGGTCAGAGAGGGAGGAAGGGTCCTCCTCACATCCAGCAGCCTGTGAAGGAACAAGAGGTGTTAGGAAAAGGGCCTTGCCTCTCAGCGCATGTATTTAAACCATAAATGGGACCCAGTGGCCAGAGTCATGGGTATTTTGTTGTATTTCATAACCAGGCTATTTGGACACAGCTGTAATAATAGAAGAAAAAGTCATCAGACCCTGGTTGCCCTCACTTTGTTTGGCTACTGCTTGGCTACTTGAGCCATGACTTCCCTGTCCTGAGCCTCCCTTTTCTCTGCCATTAGTTGCTGGGAGCCACCACTATTATAAAGAACAAAGTTGAGAGGCTTCTGTCCCTTCCTGCCTCTTCCCTCACCCATCATGCTTACTGTAACTGTTCGCATCACATTGACCTCCACTTCCTTCAACATGCCAGGTACATCCTCACTTTAAGGACTGCTAGTCATCCATAACCACAGTAACCCTCCTGAGAAACCACCCTAGGACTTGCCATTTATTTCTCTTCCATAGTTTCCAGGTGCTCTGGGTTGGGTTCAGGCATGCCATATGTTTGCTTGAATGTGCTGGAGCATGTTCTCACGCAGATCATAAGTGCCCAAGGAGCCAAACTAGGCTGGATTAACACAGTTAAGACCTGTCTGCTCTTGTTGGATTGGCTCCATGCCCCTGAAGCCACAGCAAGTCACATGGCCAAACCTGGCATTATTGGTAAGGAAAGGCAAATCTGCTCCTCCCACAGAGCCACAGTTCAGGGTTTGGCTGCATTAAAGCAGAGTGAGATAGAACCAATACTCCCATTTGCAGTGGGGAACTTAGGAAGAGCAATACCACCTAGCAATGTCTCTGACTCTTTCTTATCCTTCAAACTTCACCTTAGAAAAGTCTCATATAAACCCTTAGTAAAAATAGTATTACCCACCCCCTCCAACCTCCATTTGTCACCATGCTGTATTTATTTCATCCATAGCAGTTAACACAATGTTATAACATCTTGTTTATAGTTTATCTCCCTAACTAAAGTATGAACTCCACAGGGAGGACAGAAACCTTGTTTTTCTATACTGTCCTATCCATAGATGTAGAGTGACTGAGTGACCAACTGACCGACTGAATGAATGAATGAATTGCATTTCATGCCAGTGCATCAAGTGCAGAGTAGTTTGCATTTAAGGTCTTCAATTTTGTGTGTTTCAGTTTGTGAAGTCCATTTTGAAAACACCAAGGTGCCTGTTGAAAATGTTCTAGGAGAAGTTGGAGGTGGGCTAAAGGTGAGTTGCCAGCAGCAGCCTCTGTGACTGCTGTGCAGTTTCATAGTGCAGTTTGTTGGCAACAACTTTCTGTTTCATCCCTGCTTGTAGCAGACCAGTTTCTGCTGGCCGAGTGACCATGTGTCCTCTGTTGGGAAGTCAGCCAAGTGGAAAGTGGAAAAATTGGCTCCCAGGTGAGGGAGTGTGTGGTTAAAACTGAGTCTCTTCATTTATCTGTGAGCATTGTTTGCTTTGAGTAGGGACATTATCCCTCTCTCCTGCAAGCATAAGAAAGCAGGCCAGCAGGCGCTGGAAAAGCATAGGTTCTTTTAAGTGCACAACCCTGGGTCCTGAGTCCCTAAGTTTGTTTGTTGGGTTTTTTTGTTTGTTTGTTTGTTTTTGGTAAGATTTATTGTAATGTTTATTGACAAATAATTCATATAACATAAAATTTACCACCTTCCATTGCATATGTTGGTTGTTTTTAGTATATTTGCTATGTTGTGCAGCCATCACCAAGGTCTAATTCCAGAACATTTCTACGCCCCCCCCAGAAAAAAATGTCATTCCTTTAATTTGCCCTTTCCCTCATCTCTTGGCAATCACTATTTTTATTTCTGTTTTGGATCTGCCTATTTTGAACATTTTATATAAATGAAATCTATATGTGACCTTTTGTGTTTGGCTTCTTTCACTGGCATGTTTTCAAAGTTTATCCAAATTGTAGCCTTTATCATTGTTTTTAAAGGCTGAATAATATTCCAGCCATGTTTTGTTTATTCATTTATAATGTCAGCTGATAGACATTAGTATTGTTTCTACTGCTTGGCCATTATCAGTAACGCTGATTTGAACATTCTTGTACAAGTTTTTATGTGAACAATATATTTTCAGTTCTTATGGGTATTTACCTAGAGGTGAAATTTCTGGGTCACGTGATAACTGCATGTATAACTTTTTGAGGAACTGCCAGGGTGTTTTCTACCGTGTCTGTACCACTTTATGTTCCCATCAGCAGCGTAACAGGGTTCTAATTTCTCCACATCCTTATTGACACTTGTTATTGTCCCTTATAAAAATTATAGTCAACTTAGTGTGTGTGAAGTGGTATCTCATTGTGGTTTGATTTACATTTTCCTAATGACTAATATCTTTTCATGTGTTTATTTGCCATTTGTATATCTTTGGAATATTGTCTTTTCAAATAGTTTGCTCATTTTCAAGTTGGGTTCTTTGCCTTTTTTTACTTCCCTGTCCTAATGTACTGGGTCACCTAGGTAAATATCTTTACTCTGGTGTGTCCCCTTTCCCTTTTGGCTGTGAAACAAGGAACAAAGTGACACCTGCCTTCCTCCCCTCCTGGGTGTCATGAGAATCAGATAAATGCCGTCAGCCAGTGCTCTTGTTAAGAGGCTGCTCAGTGAACCCTGGCCACTGTGGCTCATTTGGTGGGAATGTCATTCTGTAAACCAAAGGTTGCAGGTTTAATTCTTGGTCAGAGCACATGCCAGGGTTGCAGGTTTGGTGCCCTGGTTAGGGCACAGATGAAAGTGGATTCATGTTTCTTTTTCTGTCTCCTTCCCTTCCCTTGTCTCTAAAGTCAATAAGCATGTCTTTGGGTGAGGATTAAAAAAAAAAGAGGCTGCTCAGTGAATGTGGAAAAAAGGGTTGTAGAAGTGGAAGGACAAACAAGGGAGCAGCAGTCTTTGCAGTGATAGGCTTGTTTGTTATTCAGGTAACCCAGAAGATACACACATTGGAGAATATACAGAAAGAAAAAATAAAATGAAACCCACTGAAACCTGTCTCCAAGACAGTTGGCATTCATTGTTCACAATTTTGGTGCTTGCTTTTGTCAACATAAACATTCGGACCTATAGAGAATTCTTGTGAGTTTATTTGAGCCAAATTGACAACAGTTGTCAGGAAGCAAAACCTCAGTGAGTTGAGATAATGTGGCTGTTTTGCACTTCATTTTATACCCTAAAATCAAAAGAGGAGGCATAAGTGGGTTCCATAAAATCTATTAGTGATAGATTAGGGAAGCAGGGAGAAACAAAGCAAGGAAAACCCTGGGATCAAATAAAAAGTAAAATGATAGACACATTTTTTACAGAGGTAGGTAAAGGATAGTTAACAGTCTACAATTAAAATGATAACAATAACAATGAGGGGATCTGTGGTCTCCCCCTGGTGTGGTGCCTGTGTTTTGAGGGTTCTGGAAAAAGGAAATTTGACATTCCAGAAGTATGTTATCACAGATGCAAAAGAGGACAGGTTCAGTTAAGGTAAAGATTGACCTTTGTTTGGGAAAAATACTGGCCTAGGACTACCTCCCATAAATGGCTTTTTGTTAGAAAGTTTTAATTTTCAGACCTTCCCATATGGTTACTTTCAGTCTCTTTGAGTTTGTAAAATTGCCACACAGGCCTCCACTGAGCTTGTCATGTTTCAAATGTGACCTCTTTTCTTCCATGTCGTTCTAGATCTTTATAAAGACAATTCCTCACAAATATTTGGTGTGTGTGTGTAATATGGCTTGCATTTTTGCATTTATCAGTATATCCTAATATAATCCAAAATTAATTTTAGACTGTAATAAAGAAACAAAAGCATTCATTAGAACAAAAAGAACTGCAGTTCTGGAGATGGTTTCAGGTGACTAAGTTGTGTTGCACAGAGACAAAGGGGATGTTAGAAATGCACGAGAAATAGAGGTTAGAGAAGCCAGAGGAACTGATCAAGTGCCTTTATTTGATGCTGTGCGTACAGGCAGGCTGAGTCTGGACTGACTGCAGGCTTGGTGGGGAGGTAGGAATGGGATTTTTAAAAGGAAAAGCACGGAGCTTGTGGGAGGATAGATAAGGAAGGGGTTAGTCTCTTGTTCTTCTGGGCGGGTGCTTCAGGGTTCCGGGATGTGAGCCCAGACAATGGGTTAAGTAAAGGGCCGGGCTGTTCCCAGGTACAGGAGGGTCAGTCTAAACACTGGCTATTGTGGCTGGCACCAGATGTCTATTGTGTGTGGTGGGAGAGAGTTTTGATTAAGCTGCGGACAACCTAGTGATCGGGATAACTGAGTCATGGGCAAGCTGGTGGGTTTGGAAAACTGGCCTGACCCTTTCAGGGGAGGCTGCCTTTTATAGCAAATGTTCTCACCCAAGTTCTCAGTTAGGTCTGTTTTATATAAAGGAGATATCCAAGTTGTACCATTCTGATTAGATAGGGCAGTTCTCAGGCAGTTGGTAGAAATATGAAACCCGGTTTTCCCTGCACTGTTTGACCAGCTTGCATAAGCAGTTGGGACAGAGTGCAGGAAGCCATGAGTTCAGCCTGAGATTCTTCCCAGTATGAAGAGTATGTGAGGAGCCCCTGCCAACAAATATCAGCTAGGCTTTTATTATTTATAAAACTTGGGCCCTGAGTTGGGCATGGGGATTCCATCTTAGCAGATAAATTCCTTCTCGGGGCTCATATCAAATGAAACTTTCTGCTTAAGGTCCACATAATAATCGTTATGCCAGTAAATATATGTTGCTACACGTTTTTAATGTTCCATAGCATTTCTTCGTGTCATGATGCCAAATTTAATATTTGCCAGGTTCTCAGATTTGGGAATTTAACATTGTTTTCACTTCTTTTTTACTTATCACCATATATCATGTGGCATATATCCTTGTATATACCTTTACACACTTGCTTAATTATTTTGTGAGTTTAAACACCAGTAGTGAAGCCACTGTCTGAAGGTGTGAATGTTTTCAAGTCCTTGATCCATGTTGCCCAGTTGCCAGCTAGAAAGTTGGACCAATGTCTGTCCTTCAACACTGCTGAGGATGCTGCTGTCCCCAATACTTCCCAACACTGCATTAAAATTTCCCCCATTGTTCTAAGCGAAAATGATTGTTATTTTAATATGCAAGAAAACTAGATTTATAAAGCCCTTTTTTTTTTAATTTTAGTGGGATTGCTTGACAGTTAGCTTAAATACTAAACAATGTGATACATTTGGTGATTCCAGAGGTCATGGAATGATCAAATGTCAGGTGAAAATTAAGTGGCTGATGGGAGGCAAAAGTAAACTTCTTTCTCTAGTGTAGTCAGGTTTAGTCAATGGCCAGACTGCTTAGGGCATAGAGGCAGTTAAATGACAGGGGCTGTTGAAGGAATGGCTTGTGTCTTGCATCTGGGAAAATTGAGATCTAGACTGTAGTTGTAGAAATTATAAAAGGAAACTATTTTGCAGTAGAGAGGTGATAAAGCATGGAAGTGCAGAGTCACAGGGGGAGAGGATGAAATAGGAAGATCAGCCTTTGAGCTCTTGGGCCCCTTGTCAGATATGGCTAAACCCATCAGGTGTTTGATGACAGGGATTCAGACCTAGTGTCAAATCCTTTTCTCTTTTTATTTTTTTTTGTTGTTGTTTTAAGTGAAGTTAAGAATAAAGTATAAAGGGGCTGTGAAGTGAATTTTGTTTATGAAACTATGAGCTGGCTTTTAAAAGCTCATTTGGAAAGAGAAAAGGGAATACAAATGGGAGAATTTAGTTCCTCTTCATGTTCTGGTCAGTGTCTTCCTATGTCCTGAGTGAGACACGTGAAGCCTGAAATTAGAGATTAGAGGGCGCTTGGGAAAGTGGTGTGACTTAACCAAGCCCCCTCACCCATTCAGTGCCAGGGCTGGGCCTGACCCTCAGGGTTTAGCCTTGTCTTCCTCATGTCCCAGCTGCCTTTGACTGAGTGGTTTAAAACCAACACTTGCCCTTCCTAGTAGCTGAAGCAGTTGTTTCCAATCTCGCTAGTCCCACAGGATCTGTTTTGAAGGATTCTCCCATTAGGTTTTTTAACAAGTAATTATAAATGCAAATAAATTTGCATGTTTGATTAATGTAAGACACACATAGTCAAGCAATCTGTAAAAAGTAGTATTGCATTTGTAGTTGAGCTTTTAGGAAATTAATAGAATTCAGAAACACCTTTCTTCCCCCTTCCCAGACCTCAGCCTTGCCTTTGGGCATCATGGGCTTGATCAGAGGCATGACAGATCACAACTGTCCTTTAGGAGGCTTGTGCTGGTGGCCATGTGTTGACGCTAGACTTGGAATGCCCTTTGTCCCTGGGATGGCCGGGTAGACCCAGCTCAGAGATCTCCTTGGCTGAGAACCTTTGCTACCCAGCATCCCTCTCCCCACACCAAAAGAAACATGCACTCACTCCTTCCCACTGGACTTGTGTGCCTGCTCTTTATTCTACCATTATACCGCTGACCACTTGTTGCCTAGTCCGCTGTTTGCCTCTTTGCCCCTTGTGGTCTATAAGGGACCTTGATGAATCTTGATAGTCTAGTACTCAGGAAGCAGTGTGTGTACACAGATGTGTGCCTGTCCCTCTTCCCCAGCTGCTCACCATCTGCATTAGGTAGGAAGTTAACTTTGGAAAAGAGGAGAGAAGCTGACAAAGCTCCTTAAGAAGTATGTCACTACTGTAGGAATTCAGTGGAGGAGAAGCATGTTATGTTAGTGGAGAGAGCATGGGTCTGTGTGTCAGACAGGATGCTTGCTGTGTGACCTTAAGAGAATCCTCTCTCCAGTCTGAACCTCAGGTTCTGATCTGTCAGATGAGGATCCTGATACTGAAGCGTTAACTGGGAAAGTCTAAATAGCTTGCAGCATGTACCCAGAAACGTGAAGTAAATTTTAGTTACTACTCCTCTCCCCAAGGACTAAGAGAAATGGTCTGTCCTTTTGGAATGAGGTTGTCCAATTACTTTTTGAAGGGTGACTCCAAGAATGTTTATAAGAGCCATAACAAGGATGGAGTGACCTTGTTTTGAAGTGTTGGGAGTATACTCTCTCCCTGCTCAGTGAGGATTGGCAGGAGGACTGGCTCAGCCCAGATGCCCAAGTCTTTAGAGACTTGTCTTTTTTTTTTTTTTTTCCAAACCTGCTGGTACTGTTGTGGTTGTCACCTCTGGTTCTCCAGGGCCCTTGGACTTTTCGTGGGTAAGCAGTCCTCTGAGGGAATAGAATCCACAGTGAGCCTCCTATGCTTTCTCTGCAGGTGGCCATGAACATCCTCAACAGTGGGCGGTTCAGCATGGGCAGCTCTGTGGCTGGGATGCTCAAGAAATTGATCGGTAGGTAAGTCAGGGACAGGAACCCTATGCAGCACAGCCTTTTCCCTGCTGCCTCTACTCCAGCCTCAAGGCTTTAACATGTCCTCAGGGCAAGTTGTGCTGAGCCAGGCCACCTGGACAAATGGTCCCACTCAAGTTTAGAACCTGGGTTTTTGTTTAGACCAAAGAATATACTCGGTCTGTCCCCAAAGGGTGTTCATGTTTTAATATTCCTCTGTTTTACCTAAGTGGGGAGGAGGAGTGGACATTCTGTTAGAGATGGAAAGAGGTTGCTGCTCTGACTACTACAAGTGGAGACCCTTAGTGAACATCCTAGCGTGAGCCAGACACTCATAAACATTAGCACTGATTTTTACAAGATCCCTGTTTGTAGGTGACTTTTCACAGTGGGTGAGGAATGGGAGCAGGTTTGGAACTCAGATCACTTAGCCTCTTGATCTTCCCTTTGTTTTTTTCTGTTAGGATACTTGAAATCTGGATTTTCCTTTGACAGTGAACTTAAAGCTACCCTATAAGGGTGTGTTGGGCACAGAACATTATTACTGTGTTAGCTTTGTGGAAGTGACTGAGGGATACGCAGGGGGCCCTGGGGTGTGCTCAGAGTACTTATGAAGTTCAGGGCAAGTTGGGGACAAGAAGGCTTTTTTTTGGGTTCTTACCCCCATTTTATAGATGAAGAGACTGATGCCCAGAGAGGGTAAGCATTGCTTGAGGCCATGCACCTAGCTCTCAAAGCTGACCTTGTCAATCTCCCAACTCACCTTGCTCAGAGTGCTACTGGCACTCTGCCAAGCTGCTCCCAAGCTCCCAAGGCCCCGAAGCCCTCTGGACTTCTTCCCCATCTGGAAATTTCTCAGTACAAGAGCTTTGCAGGGACACTCATGGTCAGCCTCTCCCCAAAGGATGTAGAACCTCTGATGAGATCCTCAGTTCCGGGAATGTGTGAATGTGAGTGCCTGTTTACCTTACAGGCTCACCATGGGGAGCATTTGTGATTGGATCATACGTATGAAAGTGTTTGGAGAACACTAAGTGTAGGGAGCAGAGTGTTGCTGACTGGGTAAGATGCTGCTGTATTCAGTTAGGTGACTTCCAAGCTGGGCTGATGACTCAGTATATGTTTACAGCTATATATTTAGAAGCCATAGGCCCAAGTTTTCAAAAGACCACCTTGCTTTGGTGATGAACAGCTATGACAGGTGTGAACCAGACCCTACTTGTGTCTAGGGTGTTTCTGGGTCCCCAACTTCACTCGAGATGCTATCTACCTGAATCTCATGTAATCTTAAAAACTCTGTGAGGTTGGTGGTACTGTTCAGGGAAGTAAAGTTCTTTGGCCTGGGTGACCAACTAGTAAGGAAAGAGTGCCAGATTCAAACCTGTGTTTGACTTCAATCTCTGTTTCCACATCTGTCCACTGCCGTAGACACCGCTAGGAGTGGATAGTCCCTCCTCCAGTCTGGATTCACTAGGAAGCAGGGGCTCTGCCTTTCAGGGTACTTGGTCTCAGCAGACCTGTTTCACATAGTTCCTGCATGAGTGTTTGAAAGCTAATGGTGATAGACTTAGGAAATCATTTTAGGACAACCAGAAAATTGTTCTTTTTAAAAACTCTGCTCTTTTTCAGAAATGACTGCTGAATATGCCTGCACGAGGAAACAGTTCAACAGGAACCTCAGTGAATTTGGATTAATTCAGGTACTGATGGTTGTACATTGGTACATCTGTTGATTTCACTGTGTAAGCATTATATGTGTGCTTGGGGTGTCTGTACTGACGATTCCTATGCAGTGACTGAGGAAGAAGACAAGACTTTATTTATTTATCTATCTATCTATTTATTTATTTTTATAAATTTATTTTTTTATTGTTGTTGACTTATAGTTATCCTGCCTCTTTCCCATTGCTCACCCCCACCATCCCCACTCCAACAGTCACTACCCCCACATTATCCATGTCCATGAGTTCTCTATTCTTATTCCTTTGCTTGCCACCTCCCTTCTTGTCAATGGCCATTTCTTTATTTCCAACTCTCTGGTTCTTTTTTGCTTGTTTGTTTGTTTTGTTGATTAGGTTCCACGGATAAGTGAGATCATATGGTATTTCTCTTTCATCACCTGGCTTATTTCACTTAGCATAATGCTCTCCAGTTCTATCCATGCTATCACAAAGGGTAGGAGTTCCTTCTTTCTTTCTGCTGTGTAGTATTCCATCATGTAAATATGCCACAGTTTTTTGATCCACTCATTTACTGATGGGCACTTAGGCTGTTTCCAGCACTAGGCTATTGTAAATTGTGCTGCTATGAACATTGGGGTATATAGGTTCTTTTAAATTGGTGACTCAGGATTCTTAGGGTGTATATTCCCAGGGGTGGGATCGCTGGATCAAAAGGCAGATCCATCTTTAGTTTTCTGAGGAAATTCCATACTATTTTGCACAGTGGCTGTACCAGTCTGCATTCCCACCAGCAGTGTACTAGCGTTCCCTTTCTCTACAACCCTGCCAGCATTTAGTTGATTTATTAATGATGGCCATTCTGACCGGTATGAGGTAGAATCTCATTGTGGTTTTAATTTGTATCTCTCTGGTGGCTAGTGATGCTAAGCATCCTTTCACATGCCTCTGGGTCCTCTGTATGTCCTCCTTGGAAAAATGTCTGTTCAGGTCCTTTGCCCATTTTTTAATTGGATTGCTTGTCTTCCTGGTATGGAGTCATATGAGTTCTTTATATATTTCAGAGATCAAACCCTTGTCTGAGGTATCATTGGCAAATATATTTTCCCATATGGTTGGTTCTCTTTATGTTTTGTCGATGTTTTCTGTAGCTGTGCAGAAGCTTTTTATTTTGATGAGATCCCATTTGTTTATTCATTCCTTTATGTCCCTTGCTTTAGAGTGAAAATATTATCAGTGAAAATTTCACTTATCAGTGAAAATATTGCTGTGTGGGATCTTTGAAATTTTCGTGCCTATGTTTTCCTCCAGCACTTTTATAGTGTCTTGACTTATATTTAAGCCTCTTATCCATCTTAAGTTTATTCTTGTGTATGGTGTAAGTTGGTGGTCTTGTTTCATTTTTTTGCATGTACTTGTCCATGTGTCCCAACACCATTTGTTGAAGAAGATATTTTTACTCCATTTATGTTCCTGCCCCCTTTGTCAAATATTAACTGACCGTATTGGCATAGGTTTTTTTTTTAATGGTTTCTTTCCTTTTTTTTTTTTAAGATTTTTATTTATTTATTTTTAGGGAGGGAAGAGAGGGAGGAAGAGAAAGAGAGAGAGGAGAGAGAGAGAGAGAGAGAGAAAGAGAGAAACATCAATGTGTGGTTGCTGGGGGGTTATGGCCTGCAACCCAGGAATGTACCCTGGCTGGGACTCGAACCTGGGACACTTTGGTTCCCAGCCCCGGCTCAATCCACTGAGCTACGCCAGCCAGGGACTGCATAGGTTTATTTATGGGTCTCTATTCTGTTCCATTGGTCTGTGTATCTGTTCTTATGCCAGTACTACAGTACTAGGTTGGTTTGATTACAATGGCCTTGTGATTTAGTTTGATATCAGGTATTGTGATCCCTCCTACTTTGTTCTTCTTTTTCAGAATTGCTGCAGCTATTTGGGGTCGTTTATGGTTCATATTAATTTTTGAAATATTTGTTTTATATCTGTGAAATATGTTATTGGTATTTTGATAGGAATTGCATTGTATCTATGAATTGCTTTTGGTAGTATTTTGATGATGTTAATTCTTCCCATCCATCAACACGTTGTATGCTTCTGTTTCTTTGTGTCTTCCTTAATTTCTTTCTTCAGTGTTGTGTAGTTTTCTGCGTACAGGTCTTTTACCTCCTTGGTTAAGTTTATTCCAAAGTATTATATTTTTCCTGTTGCTATAGTAAATGTGATTGTTTTCTCCTAATTTCTGTTTCTGGTATTTCATTGTTGGTATACAAAAATGCCTTTGATTTCTGAATATTGACTTTGTATCCCGTATTTGGCCACATTCACTTACTAGATTGAGTAGTTTTTTGGTAGAGTCTGTAGGGTTTTCAATGTACACTATCATGTCATCTGGGAACAATGACAGCTTTACTTCTTCCTTTCCAATTTGGATGCCACAAGGCTTTATTTATTTATTTATTTATTTATTTAAAATAGTATTCTCCTTTTGATTTTTTTTAAGATTTTATTTATTTATTTTTAGACAGGGAAGGGAGGGAGATAGAGAGAGAGAGAGAGAAACATCAATGTGCGGTTGCTGGGGGTTCAGACCTGCAACCCAGGGATGTACCCTGGCTGGGAATCAAACCTGGGACACTTTGGTTCCCAGCCCGCGCTCAATCCACTGAGCTACGCCAGCCAGGGCTCTCCTTTTGATTTTTTAAAAAGACTATTTATATATTTTTAGACATACAGGATGGACACAGGGAGGGAGAAAGGGAGGGAGCAAAACGTGAATATAAGGTTGCCTCTCACACGCCCCCCACTAGGGACGTGGCCCACAACCCAGGCATGTGCCCTGACTGGGAATTGATCCAGTAACCCTTTGGTTCAAAGGCTGGTGCTCAGTCTACTGAGCCCAACCAGCCAGAGTGGCAAGGCTTTATTTAATGTGATAGCTTTTTGTGAATGCTGGGGCTTGGTTTTCTTGTTCAGTGTGAGGCTTTGGGCTTAATTATATTTTCTGTTTATTGGCAAATTTGGATCTTAGCACGTTTAAAATGTTTCTTGATTATGTTTTTTTCTGACTACTGCAGGAAAAATTTGCCTTGATGGCTCAGAAGACTTATGTAATGGAAAGTATGGCCTACCTCACTGCCGGAATGCTGGATCAACCAGGGTTTCCTGACTGCTCCATTGAGACTGCCATGGTGAAGGTAATTCTAGCACATCAGAGGGAAGTTGAGCAAAGCTCCTCAGCTACAGCTGGTCATTGTGGTCAAGGAAGGAAAAGGACTTGCCTGAGGTTACCCAGTGAGGCCAAGACTATCAGGGCTCCTGCTTGGCTCGGTCTCATCACAAAGCCCAGTTTTCCTTCGAGCCTATCATTCATCGCCAGCCACTCTGCCCTTGTTCTGAGGTCCTCCTTTTGGAAGGAAGTCAGGACGACCTTGTGCTGACCTTGCTTCCTGGTTTGTGGTAGGTGTTCAGCTCAGAGGCTGCCTGGCAGTGTGTGAGTGAAGCCCTGCAGATCCTTGGAGGCTCAGGCTACGTGAGGGACTACCCCTACGAGCGCATGCTGCGTGACGCCCGCATCCTGCTCATCTTTGAGGTGGGTGCTGTGCTGCCAGCTCCATCTTGCTCCACCATGGACCCCCTGAGCCTCCTGGTTCTGGCTCCATGCTGGCTTGTGCGCTCTCTCGTTTAACCTTCCTCACAGCACAGCCTAGACTCTGTTCTGCAGTGAAGAGGCTGAGGCTGAGAGGCCAAGCAGCTCACCAAGGGTCCCACTCCCAACGGCCCTTTCCGCTGAGCCTACCACCTCCTGGCAACCCGCCAGAGGTCTTTGCCAAGTTACTTCTGCTGGGTGTGGTGGGACAAGCAGAGATCTTCTCATAAGAGGCCTGTGATTGACCTTGCGTGTTCTCTCTGGACCTGGGTTTTTTTTCCGAGTATATTAAAGGTGCTTAAGAGGATAATCTCTGAGGGCTTTCCTAGCCCAGCACTTTTCACTTTTTAATTGCTTTCCCCTGTGAGTTCACAAGTGTAAACATGCTGAGGGGGATCTGGGTGGGGAACAAAGAGGGGGTGGGGCCAGAGAGACACCTGGTGCAGAATGGTGCTCAGACACCACTCTGTCTTTGGGGTGCTAGTTGTCTTGGTTGTGTGGACTGACCGACCCAGGAGGAAACCAGAATAGCAAGGAGTAAGGGACAGAGGTGCATCTCTCCCAAGAGGACTGAGGTCTCAAGAAGCAAGTGTACTTGGCCCTTTGGGGACTTTGACCAGGCCTGGGGAGGGCTGTATGGGCCAAGGACAGGGAAATAGAACATGCTAGGAGGCCCAGACAGGACCTTACCTGCCAGCTCTATGTGAATGGAGAGAGAATAAGCAAGTTTTATTGGAGAAGTAGTCAGTCCTGCTTGGTGGAACTAGGGCAGGTGATGGAGTAGGTGAGGAAAGGATGGAAGGGGAGACAAGTAGCCCCATTGTAGAGGACCTTGGATCTTACTCTGAGGACAAGAAATTATGAAAAGTCATGGCTCTGTTTGCAATAGCTTCTGTAGGACAGGTGAGTGGACAATGGCATGGTCTACCTGGTCACATATGCAGTACACTGGGGCTAACTTCATGGGGCAGCTTTGACATCTCCACTGTTGACCACAGGGAACCAATGAGATTCTCCGGATGCACATTGCCCTGACAGGCCTGCAGCATGCTGGCCGCATCCTGACTGCAAGGATCAAGTAGGTGCCATTTCCCCTTGTTGCTCCTCAGGTTCCACCTGGCAGAGCTGAAATCATTCACTGGCTGGCTGGAGAGAGGGAAGGTGGGCAGGAACCTTCATCAGTGACTGTTGGGCCTTGAAAGCCAGGCTCCAGAGCTGAGCCTTTACCTGAAGGTGATAGGAGGGGCCCGCTGCTTCAGGAATCCCTCAGTGTGCCCTGTCCTTATGGTCACTACCCTGACAGTTCTTGTTTCCCATGCTGCAGGGAGCTGTGTTTTCAGAATCTGGGAATGAAAGGTGCACCTTAAACAGATGCCAATGTCAAGACCAGTGCAGACCAATTTATTTCTTTTCTCTCTCCCTTGTTCTCTGTCTCTTGCTCTCCCCTCAGTCCCCATCCTGGGGCTAGGGCAATTAGAAATCACTGCTGGACCCCATGAACAGGTTATGCCAAGCATTTTGCAGAGTACTTACAGTAAGAGAATGACCTGAAAGCTGGCTGTGACTTAGTTCTCTGTGGAGGAAGCACTAGTGCAGCTCTACCTCAGAGGAGACTGGCTGGTCTTGACAGGCTGGAGGGGCTCATCCTGCAGCCAGGTGTCCAGCAAGGCTGGGGGAAGGTCATATAGTTAGGGCCTGAGTTAGCCCTTTATGGCTATGCATAGTCAGGGAGAAGGAGTGGGTGCCCTAGAGCTCCGGGATACCTATCGGTGGGGTTTGTGTTGCTGGACAGTGGGAGGAACAGCAGGGCCTCAGATCATGGGTCCATGGGCTTTCTGCAGTGAACTTAAACGGGGTAATGTGACCACTGTCTTGGATACTGTTGGCCGGCGGCTTCGGGACTCCTTGGGTCGAACCGTGGACTTGGGGCTGACGGGGAATCTTGGAGCTGTACACCCCAGTGTTGCGGTGAGTGAGCCCAGAGGGTGTAGCATGTTGGATATCTCCTCCCCAAGAGGGAAGTGACCAGGGGCGTTGGGATAGACCAGCCAGTCTGAGGAACAGCTGATACCCTGTCTCCACGCTGTCATGATGGAGAACAGCCTGCATGTTAACCCCGGATCCCCTGCCATGCTCTGTGCCAGTGGGACGGAATGGGCATCATGGGGAGGAGATACTGCACTGAGTCCTTTCCTCTGACCTACCAGGACAGCGCCAGAAAGCTCGAGGAGAACGTGTATTACTTTGGGCGCACCGTGGAGACGTTGCTGCTCCGCTTTGGCAAGGTATTGGTCCCCTGCCAGACCTGGGGTGGTAGGCTCTCCAACTTTGGGGTTAAGGATATGGGGCCAGCATCTGTGAAATGTTTTACAAGTACCTACCTTTAGAAATAGGGCCAGGAAGAAATTTTGCTCACTTGGAGAAGGTGGGGTGGGGAGGCAGGGCTGTCTGTGGCTGCCTGTCCTGTGGACCACTCAGCTAGCTGGGGTGAGCACCCCCTAGGTGAAGAGAAGCTCCCTGCATTTTGTGGAGGCAGCCTGGGCCTGAATCTCAGGTCCTGATCTGTGAGGCTCTTGCTTCTGTTGGTATATTAAGCCCCGGCCTCCGGTCTCAGCCAGGTTCCTGGGACCTTGACCCTTCCCCAAATCTAGACAGAGTAAGTGGAAAATAGAAGGTAGCCATGAACCAACTTCTCACAATCCAGAGGGAAAGGCAACTTTAGCACCTCTAACCAGAGGCATAAAGTGAGGCTTAGAGATGGGTAAAGGTATGCTTAGGAAGGGACTGTTGGGGGTGGGGGATGTGTCCAAGGTAATGAGCCTCCAACCTGGGCATCTGTGTTCCCAGACCATTGTGGAAGAGCAGATGGTCTTGAAGCGTGTGGCCAACATCCTCATCAACCTGTATGGCATGACAGCTGTGCTGTCTCGTGCCAGCCGCTCAATGCGAGCAGGACTTCGGAACCATGACCATGAGGTGAGCGTTCCCGGCCCTGCCCTACTTAGCCCACACACAGGCAGCTTCCCACTGACTTGGTCCTGCTGCACTTTATTGAGGCCCATTGGTTGGGGTTTATGGGTCATTTGGTGATATGGCCCAGTTGAAGAATCTTATGTGGGAAGGCCTATACAAAGCAAGGGCCTTGGCACCCAATTGTGGTCCCAGAGAGCGTGAGTTAAGTGCAGTGTCCATGTAGCAGTTGACCAGGAGGCGGATGGATTTGCCGAGTTGTGGCTGTGGCCTTTTGTGAGCACTGAAGCTCTTATGGGGTATGAGGGTTTCTGTTGCTCTGGACACAGAGCCACTCCCTTTCATTTTCCTCCCTGAAAGAGAAAGATGGGTGAATAGTGGGGTTTCAAACCTAGTTCCCTCACCCTGTCTGTCCTCCTCATCCTGCTGTAGGGGGTGGATGCAGTCACTGAGTGCCTGCTGTGTATTTGGTATTTATGTGCCTTGATACACAGTACCTGGTGGCCATAGGAATTGTGATGTCTTTCTTTCAGCAGGGGAAACAAGACTCAGATGTTGAGTGATTTGCCCTTTGGACAGACCTGGCTTGGCTTAGGGCTAGAATTAGAACCTAAAATAGTGTAACTCTTGAGCCAGGCCTCTTGACCCTAGCCAAGCTGTCCAGTAGTACTGTGAAGCTTAGAGGTCAGTCACCAGCGAGGGGTTACCCTTTGATACACAGAGGGTTCTCTCTGACCTTGGTTTTGGCAGGTTCTGCTGGCCAACATCTTCTGCACGGAAGCTTATTCCCAGAATCTCTTCACCTTATCTCAGCTGGACAAGTGTGAGTAAGGTTGTCTTGGGAGGGAGGGGGAAGAGAGGGTCTGATTCCAAGCGACTGATTCCAGTGAGCTGTTTCTGGACCCTGTCAGGCTCCCATGACCAGCTGGCTGCTCACAACTTCTGCCTTGAGTGAGGGCTGGGTAAGACTTGTGCTGAGGAATTCAGAGCTCTGCCAGAGTCTCTGAGTGGGCCTTGCTGAAGGCCATCTGCGCAGGGTAGATTCACAAAAGAAGAAGGAGTTTCTCCTGCTTTTTTACCCCTGCACTGCAGTGGAAATGAAACTGCCCTACCTGCAGATGTCTCAGGATGCTTCCCTAGACTGTGCAGGGATTTTGTTTGTGTTGCTCAGTCTTTTCAGTTTGTCTGGAATGCTCATCCTCTTTCATAGCCATATGGCTGTATCTTAGAATATGTAGCTTAAATTCTCTTTCTGACCCTACAGTCCTGCTGGTCTTCAAGGCTCCCCTGAAGAGACCAGCCCTGTCGCTAAGGATTGTGGAGAGGGACACATAACTCTGTGTAGCTCCTGGCTCTGCTTGCTGGCCAGGCACCCTCCACAGTGCTGGCCTGACTGTTAATGTGCTGTGGAGAGCTAGGAAATAGTTTCCTCTGCAATAATAGGCTTGAATCACAAAGGGGTCTTTTATTGAGAAAGTGCCTTCTCCCACAAAATCTGGAGTTTTTAGAGATTAACAGGATGAGCTCTTCGTTATTTGGAATGAAGCTTTTCTAGCTCAGAATCACTTCCTGGGGGTTTGGATGAGTGGGAGGAGTGGTGTGGTCACTCCCAGGCTGACTACTGGAAAAAATGCCCCAGCAATATTTCTGCTGTCACAATGCAGAAAGATCACCTAGTGTCTCTTTTCCCCTCTCAGATTCTCCAGAAAATCTAGATGAACAGATCAAGAAAGTGTCTCAGCAGATCCTAGAGAGGCGAGCATACATCTGTGCCCATCCTCTGGACCGTACATCCTGAGGGACGGTGTTCTCTGCTGCTGCCATCCCGTAGGCCACAGGACATTGCTGAACAACTCTCACTTTTTCCAGAAGATGTAGAACCTGGAATTATTTCAAGTTGAACTATTGCTTCCCAGTCTTCATCTGAAGGTCTTTCTCCTGGCCTGAGGGAGCCTTTTCCAGACCTGACCTCTGGGCACTGCTGCCTGACATGATCCCAGGTTCTAAACAGAGATGAAGAGAGAGAGAATGGAGTTTCTGAGACCTGGGATTGGAGGATGTGCTATCAGTTTAGGAAACCTTGCAATGGAAACCGCAGCCTGTGCTGCTACCTCTGTGGCAGGAGCCTGTGGGGCCTGTTTCAGGCATGGATGACCATTTCTACTAGACTACACATTACCCAAGAAACAGCTTAAAAGCTGTATGTGTGCCATTCAGACTAGGGTCAAGGTGCACTAAAAACATGTACTAGGAAACATTTAACAGAGGGGAATATAAAATGGCACAGTTTGTATTTACCCTTCTGGTCATGTTTGTCCTCAGAACCAGCCTTTAATGGAAGACAGCATGACCCTAACAACCACTCTTTGGTGATGGCTTCCAGTCCCTTTTGTCCTCACCCTGCAAGAAGAAGGCCCTGAAAGCTGAGGAGCAGGTGGCCACTGCAGAGCCATGGGGGTTACGAGTCCTGTTTTTTATCTCTCTCAGGTGATGATGGGTGGAAAACAGCATTGCTTGCTTGTTACCTGACAACATATGCTTTTTTCCACCTGAGCTTTTCTGCCTGTTTTCTTTGCAAGGATTGCCCTCTACTTTTGAAGTGAGGGGGAAAAAAGTGTCTTTAGGTGGTACTAACAGGCCTTTGCATTTCTCCAGGTTTCCTTCTGCTACTTGCTGGATGTAATGCATGCTGGCAGGTTTTAAACTTTAGTCTGGTTTCTGGGTGATTTGAGGTTCTCCCCCACAAAAACCCACTGTAGATATTGCTTCGAGGTGGGAGGAGAAAGCCAGATTGCAGCTTATCTTTTTCCCAAGTATAAATTGTAATCTGCTGTGATGAGAGAAAAAGGCAAAGAAAAGACTGGGAATGCTGAGACCTGAACTGGCTTAGTGGGGTTGGCCTGAACATTCTGCCAGGGTTTTGGTAGCAGGTCTTCAAAAGGTGAAAGTTTACAAATATTGAGACTTTGGAAATAACTTTTCAGTGAAACTCAAAAGTTCTAAACATTGACAAGGAGGCATCTTGCAGAAAATGGAGAGTACATATTTTCTCACACTGTTGGGGGAAGGAGATACATGGAACTCCTTTGCAAGGGGAAGCTTGGAAAGTATGCTGACCCCATCGCCTTTGAGCAGCTTTTAGGAAAGGGGCTTCACTCTAGGCCTTGTGACATAGAAGTCCCTTGTCAGTAACAGGTTCTCTTTGTTAAGTTGAGTTCAAAAGGCTGGAATCACCAGTTCAAGCTCTTCTTTCTCACTTGCCATTTTCTAGTTTTCACTTTTTCATTTTGCTATTTTTTGTTGTTCTGTTTTTTAAATTTACTGTTTTCGGTTACACTTGTCCCACTTATTTCCCCATTGCTCACTCCTACACCCATACCCCATACTCCCAGTCAATACCCCTCACCCCCCATTGGCTGTGCCATTGCATCCTTTATTTGTGTTCCTATACTTACCCCTTTCCTTTCTTTCCCCAGTTTTCTCCCTTCCCCTTCACCTCTGGTCACTGTCCACTTGTTCTTTATTTCTACGTCTCTAGTTCTGTTTTGCTCATTTGTTTGTTTTGTTGATTAGGTTCCACTTATAGGTGAGATCATATGGCATTTCTCTTTTACCGCTTGGCTTATTTCACTTAGCATAATGCTCTTCAGTTCTATCCATGCTATCACAAAGGGTAGGAGTTCCTTCTTTCTTTCTGCTGTGTAGTATTCCATTGTGTAAGTATATCACAGTTTTCCAATGTACTCATTACTGATGGGCACTTAGGGTGTTTCTAGCACTTGGCTATTGTAAATTGTGCTGCTATGAACATTGGGGTGCATAGGTTCTTTTGAATTGGTGACTCAAGATTCTTAGGGTATAGTCCTAGGAGTGGGCTCGCTGGATCAAAAGGCAGATCCATCTTTAGTTTTCTGAGGAAATTCCATACTGTTTTGCACAGTGGCCATACCAGTCTGCATTCCCACCAGCAGTGCACTAAGGTTCCCCCTTTCTGCACAGCCTCATAGGCACTTGTTGTTTGTTGATTTGTTTATGAGGGCCATTCTGACCCATGTGAAGTGGTATCTCATTGTGGTTTCAATTTGCATCTCTCTAATGGCTAGTGATGCTGAGCATCTTTCCATATGTCTCTGGACCCTCTGTATGTCCTCCTTGAAAAAGTATCTGTTCAAGTCTTTTGCCCATTTTTTAATTGGGTTGTTTGTCTTCCTGGAGTAGAGTCATGTAACTTGTTTATATATTTTGGAGATTAAACCCTTGTCCAAGGTATCATTGGCAAATATGTTTTCCCATATAGTTGGTTCTCTTTTCATTTTAATGCTGTTTTCTTTAGCCATGCAGAAGCTTTTTATTTTGATGAGATCCCATTGATTTTTTCTGTATGTCTTTTGCTGTAGGGCAGGAGTGTCAAACTCATTTTCACAGGGGGCACATCAGCCTTGCGGTTGCCTTCAAAGGGCTGAATGTAATTTTAGGACTGTATAAATGTAACTACTCCTTAACTAGGGGCAAGGAGCTTGGCACTGTGCCAGGTAGAAACAAGGTGCTGGGCCAAACGAGGAGAAGCGCTGAATTTGGCCTGCAGGCCTTCTGTTTGCCACCTAGGCAAATAGGGGATATTTGCCTAGGGGTTATATCAGTGAAAATATTACTGGTTGAAATATCTGAGATTTTCCTCTCTATGTTCTCCTCTAGGACTTTTGTAGTGTCATGACTTATATTTAAGTCTTTTATGCACCTTGAATTTATTTTTGTGTATGGTATAAGTTGATGGTCAAGTTTCATCATTTTGCCTGTAGCTGTCGAGATGTCCCAACACCATTTGTTGAAGAGGTTATTTTTACTTATTTTATGCTTCTGCCCCTTGGTCAAATATTAATTGACCATAAAGACATGAGTTTATTTCTGGGCTTTATTCTGTTCCATTGATCTGTGTGTCTGTTGCTGTGGCAGTACCATACTGTTTTGATTACTGTGGCCTTGTAATATAGTTTGATATCAGGTATTGTGATCCCTCCTACTTGTTCTTCTTTCCCAAAATTGTTGGCTGTTCGGTGATACCTTATTTTAAATATAATGACATTACATGTTGGTACATTCATAATTAGTAGGAGTTTCATTCAGTGATTATATTTTGAGCTGGAGACAGGTTGTCTAAATCCATTTAGTACAAATTAATTGTAAGTGTTAGAACACTTCATAATTAAAGTATTTTGCATAAGGAAAAGCATATTTACTATTAAAAGTAGATGCTTCTAGAGTTTAGAAAGCTATTGATTATGTTATAAACTATATATGAATTTTTTAGTTTGAATGTTTTACAATTTAAAAAGGTACTTTGCTGAAATTAATGTGGGGAATGCTGGAATCTTCTTTGAGATACCATAATAATACAATACCATTTACTGGGGCAGCATTATGGCAAACATAGCTCTTTTAAAAACTATTCCTTACTTACATGTACTCACTGAAAAACTTTTTGAAGTTGGTTTGCAATGACTGCTTACAAACCTTAATTCTAAACCTACCCTGATTTCATACCAAAAACTAATATCAGGTCTACCCACTAAGTATACCACAAATTCAAGTCTGAAACTCATCAAAAAAGCTACATTAAAATATAATGATTGTATAAATTCTACTCCTCACACTAATCAAATTATCCAAGTCTTTTTTTAATTTAATATATTTTATTGATTATGCTATTACAGTTGTCCCATTTCCCCCCTTCACTCCCCTCTACCCTGTACACCCTCTCCCACCCATATCCCCCCGCTTTAGTTCATGTACATGTGTCATACTTATAAGTTCTTTAGCTTCTACATTTCCCATACTATTCTTACCCTCCCCCTATCTATTTTCAACCTACAATCTGTGCTACTTATTCTCTGTACCTTTTCCCCTTCTCTCCTCCTCCCACTCCCCTGTTGATAACCCTCCATGTGATCTCCATTTCTGTGGTTCTGTTCCTGTTCTAGTTGTTTGCTTAGTTTCTTTTGGTTTTGCTTTAGGTGTGGTTGTTAATAATTGTGAGTTTGCTGTCCTTTTACTATACATGTTTGTCCTTTATCTTCTTTTCTTAGATAACTCCCTTTAACATTTCATAAAATAACGGCTTGGTGATGATGAACTCCTTTAACTTGACTTTATCTGAGAAGCACTTTATCTGCCCTTCCATTCTAAATGAAAGCTTTGCTGGATAGAGTAATCTGGGATGTAGGTCCTTGTCTTTCATGACTTGGAATACTTCTTTCCAGCCCCTTCTTGCCTGTAAGGACTCTTTGGAGAAATCAGCTGACAGTCTGATGGGAACTCCTTTGTAAGTTACTGTCCCCTTATCTCTTGCTGCTTCTAGGATTCTCTCCTTCATTTTTACCTTGACTAATGTAATTATGATGTGCCTTGGTGTGTTTCTTCTTGGGTCCAACTTCTTTGGGACTCTCTGAGCTTCCTGGACTTCCTGGAAGTCTATTTCCTTTGCCAGATGAGGGAAGTTCTCCTTTATTATTTGTTCAAATACATGCTCAATCTGTTGCTTTTCCTCTTTCCCTTCTGTTACCCCTATAATTCGGATGTTGGAACATTTAAAGATATCCTGGAGGTTCCTAAGCTTCTCCTTGTTTTTTTGAATTCTTATTTCTTCATTCTTTCCTGTTTGGTTGTTTTTTTCTTCCTTCTGGTCCACTCTATTGTTTTGAGTCCCAGTTTCCTTCCCATCACTATTGGTTCCTTGTGCATTTTCCTTCATTTCTTTTATGGTAACCTGCATTTGTTCATCTAATTTACGCCCAAAATCAACCAATTCTGTGAGCCTCCTGATCACCAGTGTTTTGAACTGTGCATCTGATAGATTGGCTATCTCTTGGTTGCTCAAAAGGATGAGTCCTGGGGCATTGATCTGTTCTTCTGTTTGAGACATCTCTCTCTCTCTCTTTTTTTGGTCTGGTCGCTCCTGTTACAGTGAGGGGCGGAGCCTTAGGTGTTCACTGGGACTGGGCACTCCAGTCGCTAGATTGTGACGTTGTATGTGGGGGCGAGGGCGGTAGGGAACAATGGCGGTAGCTCCGTTCTCCTGGGACCTCAGTCCCTTCTCTGGGATCCTGGGTTGTGTGCTCTGCCCTGGTCCACAATGCCACCTCACTGGGTCCACCAGCTGCCGCTTGCATACTCAGGGTCCACCCACTTCGATCTTGTGCGCCCCAGGTGCCTTATGCGCCCAGTTCTCCCTGTTCTCCGCGCCCCATGCCTGGCTGCTCCTCTCTGCCCCTCCTATCAGTCTGGATGAACAGGTCTACTTCAACTTCTTGGCTGTCCAACTTCCATTCAGATAAATTCTCTGTCAGTTCTGGGTGTTATTCTGTCTCTAAATTGTTGTTCTAATATTGGTTGTGTGTGGAGGTACGGTGCGTCCACCTATGCCTCCATCTTGCCGGAAGTCCAAATTATTCAAATCTTTTTTGAGAGAGGGAAGGGAGGGAGGGGAGAGAGAGAGAGAGAGAGAGAGAAGCATCAATGTGCGGTTGCTGGGGATTATGGCCTGCAACCCAGGAATG